GAGGTAGCTAAGCTATATCTCGACTAGCGGACCCAGTACTAATCTAACCCTGCCTAGTAAATAGGCCCGCCCGTTCTATTTTCTAGTAGAAGGCACTCGAGGCCTCTAATATAATATTGCGTTCCGCTCTATATAAGATAGGGAGAACAAGTATCGGCCCTAGATATTAGAGAAGGCGTAGAATAAGGCTAGCTTTAGATATACGGACTAGCAACCTAAGATATTATAGAAGTAGGGAGTTAGCGACGTATACCTAAAGGCTATTAACGAGCTAGAGTTTAGAGGTAATTAACGGCCGTATCTAAAGATATCGCGATTCCGGTAGTACCTAAATCGGTAGAAATAAAATAAAAATAGTCCTACCCTTACCGTCGCCCGTATCTAACTATATATTTTACTCTCCCCTCCTATACTCGCTACCGCCGCGAAAATTGCACCGACCGCGTACGCCGCTAATCCTCTATTTACTCCCTACTCTTTCGGCGTCGCGAAATGCTAGTAAGACGCATCGATCCGCGCTATCCTAACGGCGAAAAGGGAGTCCCTCTCCTAAACCTCGCCCGCTCCTCGTATCGTCTCCGCCGGTCCTCTATTTACTACCTACGCTTTCGTCGTCGCGAAATGCTAGTAAGACGTATCGATCCGCGCTATCCTAACGGCAAAAAGGGAGTCCCTCTTCTAAACCTCGCCCGCTCCTCGCGTCGTCTCCGCTAATCCTCTATTTACTCTCTACCGATACTATATATACTCTTATAGCGAAGAAAGGCGAGGTCGGATAGGAGCGGCTTTATAATATATAACCGGAGCTAAGCGAGCGGGGACGCTTATAGCTGCTACGTAAATAGAGACTTCTAGCTAATTAGGTAGTCCTAAAGGTTATACCCTCGCTAGTTATTTAAAGCTAGCCCTAGTTAGCGAGATGCCGAACTATATTCGCTCGAATATATTAGCCGACCGTACCTTTAAGGATACGGTAAAATTAGTATAAGGCGATCTACGATCTGCTAGATCGTCCGGACAGGGGGTTTAATTCCTTTATTAGCTATATCTTTTTTTTTTAATCTATACAATTATCTATATTCTGTAACCCTCTAGCTAATTAGATCGGTTCTAGATAGTAAGAGTTATTCGCTTGTAGTCCTTATAGAGATACGGGGTAGCGACTAGCGAGGGTATAACTTTTAGCATTAGAGGTTCGAATCCTCTATTAGCTATCCTTTTACGCTCGCATAAGGCGGCCGGCTATAGCCGCGAATTCTAGAGTTCCTATACGTAATTTTCCCCGTATCCGGGAGCTGCCGCGCTAAGCGGGAGCGCCCGCGTATTTTAGGGATACTAGAACTTTATATATATAAAAAAAAACCCCTAGCCTTCTAAGGTACGTGCTTTCTTATCTATACTAAGACGAGATAGAGACTAAAACTAAACGTGTCGGTCTATCTAGGGCCTCTAACTTGTCCGGTACCGCCGTCTATTTAGAGAGCGTATTATCTTTACGCGTAGCAAGAACGAGATATAGCTTTAAATGCACCCTACGCGCCGCTACGCTATCGAAGACGTCGTATAAGGGCAAATTACGGCCTAGAGACGATAATAAGTACGGAAAGTTTATAGACTAAAGGAGATAGATTGCTCTACCTACGATACCGTGCTTAGGCTCCTCCGCCTTCTTTCTAAGTTACGATAGCGTCTGTCTCTAGGGCGCGAGCACCGTACTTATAGCAGTCCTAAGGAAACGTACTACTCTCCCGTTCCCGTATATATCTCTAGACGATAAAACTCTCTATTCCTACGCCTTATATCGAGGATTACTATCGCGTCGTCCGTATCGATTTAAGTATAACCGAAATTAGCCGTATTCTATACTAACTGTAGCCTCCTTTTTATATCGAAGTCCCTTCCTACCTCTACGTCGAAGAAGTCGTAGTATTTAATACGGCTATCGTTTCGCGGGAAGTCGAAGGGTTAGTTATATTGTAGTAAAGCATCGATAGCGCTAGGAAGACAGATTTCCTCTAATAACCGTAGGTCGCACCTAACTAGGACCCTCTATACGAAGGTACTATCCGTTCGGCTCGTTATAGTAGAATACGCGCGTAGAGGAACGACGACGAAGCGATCTATACCGAACGGCTATATAGTAGCAAGCTTTATCTACGCGAATTCGATCTAGAACCGGTTAGCAAAAGCGCTATATTCTTAGGGTACGCGACGGATATACCTAGCGACAATGCCGAGGAAACAGCGAGTTAGACTTTTAGAGGTATAGTCTCGGCTCGAACTCGTCGAGTTCGTCGAGCCTATTAGTATTCGTATATAGATTAACGTAGACGATAGACCCTTCTATTTGCTCTTCCCGTTGCGCCTAAGTAGTAACAACGTTAAAGTTACTATCTAGGTACTTGTCCTACGACTACTTAGGTATAGAGATCTATAGGAGTTAGCTTTCTACTACTATATACTAGACGATATACGAGAACACGTACTACGCATTCTTCGTCCCGAGACTCCGTCCGCTAGTAGATCTTATTTATAACTAGAGATACTAATCTCGATATATGCCTAGACAGCCGGTAATCTATAACGCCGTAGTACGGAGGTTTAGGAGAGAAGCCGTTATTCTTGTCTATATTACGGTTCTCGCATATACGGCGCAATACCTCCTTAGTAACTAGCTTATATATGTCTTATAGCGCTTCTTAATATACCGGGGCCCGGCCTATAGCGAGTAGTTAGCGAAGTCGTATAGAAGCGCAGGGGTGCTTAATCTCGGCTATAGCGCGATTTAATTCCTAATATTAAAAGGCTCGCTACGGTATACTACGTAGAACGTCTATCTCTATAGCTCGATATTAGCGAAGGTAGCGTACGGCGACCGATACGCTAGAGACTTACTATTAGGGAGGGCTATAGCAGCTAAGACCGTATAGGAGGGGCGCCTTTATCGAGGTCGCTACTAGTAATATCGATAACTAGAAGGAGGTAGATATAGCTACGTAGAAGTAGTCGCTATATTAGTTATTATAGTAGTAATATTTAGACGACGCGCAACGCCGCAATATTACTATTTATATACGTAACCGTCGCCGCGCGCTAAGCCTATACTAGCTAATAGATGTAAAGCGACGATGTAAAGCGACGATATAAAGCGACCCGCGACAATAATAACGGCCTCTCGCGACGCGACGATAAACACTCGACCTTACGCTTACTACTCTAGCTTAGATCCTACTACTATAACGTCGGTATCGTCGCTAGGGAGGTGTTAATATAAACGAAGTCGTTAAGGACTCGAGTTAAGGCGAAGGAGCGCGTCGTCTGCCTCTAGCGGTATAATCCGGTAAGATATGTCTTCTAGAGCTATAAATTTATATCGTATCGAGGGATATAAAAAGATGTCTATTAAGTAGATAGTACGCTAAAAATCACAATAAATGCACTAAGATTATCGTAGATTTCCTTCCGCAACCTCCCTAAATACTATATTCTCCCTTACGCTCGGTACTACGATTGCCCGCGCCTTAGTTTATTATAACGCTCGACTCGCTACGATACTCCTCTAGCGGGGCGAGACCGAATAATAATAATAAAGGCTTTCGCCGGACGGGAGCGCTATATATAGTTAAGAGACAACTCCGCGTCGCTACCTAGTCGAAGCCTATACTATTACGGAGGAGCCGGAAATAGTTTAAGAAGTAGGTTATCTTAGCGTACTTGTCGCTAAATAGGGCCGGGAGCTATACCGTCCGTTCCTAATCGCGAGTAGTACTCTCCGAGAGCAAGGCGACGCTAATACTATAGCCGGATATCGTATCGAATTAATACTAGATCTTAAGGACCTTTATAGCCGCCTTATCGGCGACGTCGTTATAGAAAAGGCTAGTAGCGATATAAAACACCTTAAGAGGCTTCGCGATAGTCGATCCTTCTACTAGCTACGATTCGAATATCTGCCTAAGGTCTAGCTTCCGAGGGACGATACTAAACGAAGGAAACAAGCCGAACCGCCGTAGATCGAGAATCCTCTATAGTAGGCTAAGTAGTAGCGAGTCTTGCTATATCTTCGTAAAGAAAACTACCGACTCTTGCGGTAAGTCCTACCGAGTACCGTAAACCTCCTCGTACTAGAATTGTTAGCCGCTATATCGGGGTACGACCGCTACTATACTACTTACTATAGCTTTCTATACCTCGGACCCTTTAAGACCTTAATCTTAAGCGTACGTCTTCGCGAGTATTATAGTAGGCCTCGAGAGACTACGATAGGTAGTTAGTAGCGGGCCCTCGTTAGATCTATACCGGTACGATGCGAATAAGTATCCGGCGGCTAGGGGAGTTAGATCGAGGTCGGTTCTAGTAGAGTCTATAATAGTCGATCGCGATATTAGGTTATTATAGTAGTAATTAATAACCGCGCGCCTACTAAAGTCGTTATATCTCCGGATATAGGCGCGTTATACGCGGCTGCTATAGTTATATACGCGACGCGCGCCTTCCTTAGGACTCGCGAGCGAAGGATACTATAATTTCGTATAGCTTCTCGAAGGCTATAGAGGTCGATAGAGCTACGATAGCGACTAAGAGGGTCGATAGTATCGCATTTATAAGACCCCGATAGCGGAGCTCGCGATAGTAGGGCCTCGGTACCGGTCGCACGTACTAAATTACGCTTCCTATAGGGCTACTAGCGCGATCGAGTATACCGCTTCGAGTAAATACCGCCGGATAAGGTGTATACGACGAAGACGCCCTTTTCGAGACTACTATCGAAGTTATAGCTCGTCGCGGTATATACTGCGACGTCTACGCCTTTCCGAATCGCTAAGGTATTAACGTTCCTCGCGTCCACCAATTAGAGGCCGCCGTTGTCCCGTTTTAAGCCGCACTAAGCCTAAAGGGGCCCCAACTTTTGTTGAGTTGTTATATTATTGATCACTACATTTCGATAGACTCACGCAACCATTTCTCTTCCGCGCACTACTTCTTCCCAAGTAATGGTTGACGATTAGCTTGGTATACATGGAGAACTACACACGAGCGAAAAGAGTACTAGAGCCAGCTTTCCATACTTTCACAACTCCTCAATCCCACGCATCAAAACAAAAACTCCCACCCATAACTCCCCATCCCATTCACACCCCCTCCTCCCTCTCCAAATACCCAGGCAACATCACCTCGCCCTCCGGCAGACCCTTCCTATACATCGGTAACGGCTCCTCCAAATCCTCATCATCCTCCTCCTCCAAAAAGTCATCCTCCTGATCCCCTATCTCATTATACCCTCTCGCATCACCACCCCCCAAACCCACTCGCGGCTCCAAAATCTTCACAGGAATCAAAAACTTCACCTCCGAAACCTTCCCCGCGACTTGAAACACCAACTTCACACGAAACTCATATTTCCTCTCGACTTTCGCATGCTGGAAAGCAGGCATATGTTCCGCAACAGGGCCCAAAGCAATCCTCGTTTTGTGGTGACGAAGTTGTGCAGGGAAAGTCAACGGGAAAGAAGAGGGCCTTTCTAAAATTTGCACGACGCGGATATCTTGGAAGAAATTTGAGCAGCAGCTTCGAAGGGTGAGGGAGTCGATTTTCGTTATGGCTAGGAGATGGACGGTGAAGGATTTTAGGGTTATGGGGGTGGTTGTTGTGATGGAGTCGATGGAAGTTGGGTTGAGGATGAGGTCGAATTCGAGGTTTTGGCCGGTGTGGATGTGGGATTGTCGGGAGCTGCAGAGGACGTCGAAGGGGAGGGTGGGGTAGGGTCGGCGTTCGATGTGGTGTTTGTACCACCGCGATAATCCGTGTGCGCGTTCGCTCTCTCGGAGGAGGTTTCGGCTTTGAATTGCGACGCGTTGTCGGTAGAATATTCTTTGGAGTTGTTGCGAGGGGGCCGGTGCAGGGGGTGGGACATAGTTGATGTCTTTCAAGCCAGGACCCGTAGCTCTGATTTTGATTCCGGGTAGTCTGATTTCCGCTGTGAGCTCTTGCTTTACTGCCATTTCAATGTTGTATGGGTGGTTGTAGAATTTTAGTTGAAAAGTCGGTGGAAAGCCTGCTGGTGGCTGAAGAGCGTTGACGGAAAATGGAAAGCAGTGCATTTGCCCGGCTTTTGCTCGAAAAGGTCCGGTGTGTAGACTGTGTCGATAGCTGAATAGATCCTTCGAAACTGTCGCCCAGATTCCCTGTTGAGTGCGTATTCTAAGATCTATACATCCGCGCATAATAATGTCAAGCTCGATCGGTCCGAAGAGATCTGCGGTTGATTCTGGCTCCTCTCGCCGGAGCAAATTTCTGTAAGCATGGTATCGCAAGATGATTTTTCCAGAGACTGCATCGTCCGGGCCACAATACAGTTGCGTTGCATTATCGAGACATATCTCAGCCTGCAGGCTTCCTGGCTTGAGCTTCGTCATATTTTGATTTATTCTGTGTAAAGGTTGTGATTCCGTTGTCAACAATGGTCTGCAATATTTATTTCCCGAAGACGACAGCTCACTACTGAGGACATAGTCGAAGCCCTCGAAGAAGCTCCACTATGAGGACATGCTCGAAGCCTTCGAAGCTCCACAATGAATTTGATTACCAGCATCGTGAGCTTCCAAGTTAAAGTTTCGCTAAGACCGAAGAACGGCGACCATAAAGGCGCTGGCGAAGATAATGTCAGTCTCTCGCATTGTTGCTATCTTACTGTAAAGCCACCGTCTAGTCGCACATCATCTCCATTGATGTTCAAGGCCTCGTCTCGTGCCAGGAAGTCGACAATCCTTGCAACCTCAAATGGTTCGGCAAACTAAGAAATTTGGTTAGTAAGCGAGTCAAGTGTAAAGGACACGCAACTCCTCACCTTGCCACTAGGCACAGCCTTTTGGTACTCTTCTCTCAATTTCTCGTCACCCCATGCTTTCTTCCCGAGCTCAGTCATCACAGGTCCGGGTGAGATGGAGTTTGCAGTAATGCCTCTGGGACCCCACTCAGACGCCATGCATCTGGTCAACCCAATCAACCCAGCCTTGCTCGCGCAGTACGGTCCATGATGATGAAGTGCTACATGTGCCGCCTGCGACGCGATATTGACTATTCTTCCGCCGGGCGCAGAATCTCCAGCCTTTTTGGCTGCTGCAACATAAGCGTTGGCAAACGCTTTGCCAGTCAAAGTTGGCCCGTAGAGATTGATCATGTAGTGCTTGTAGACATCATCTTCCGGGAAAGACTCCAAGGGCTGCAGGTTTACATAGCCTGCTGCATTCACCAAGAGCCAGGAAAATGCGGCATCATCTTTAGCGATGGCGGCGAAAGCGGAGTGAACCGAGGTGGCAATTGTGATATCGCATTCGTAGGCCTTCACATCGTCTGCATTGGCTCCATATGCTGATTCTATCGTGGGATCAACTCTCGATTTCTCGAAGGGAGCATAAAGTAAAGCCAGCTTAGCGCCATTGGATCGAAGAAGTTTGCCCGTCTCTGTGCCAAGACCACCTGCAAGAGGGTAAGAATTGTGATTCCCTGGTGAAGTACAACTTACCTATGCCTCCAGCGATGATTGCCAACCTTGAGGAGTATGCCATTGTGAGATGAATCGCACTCAGGTTTGTGAAGATGCAGCAGGTTATCTTGCGTGGTAGCTCGTCCGAAGTGGGGTGGGTCACTGGGGTGTTGATGGAGGCGCTTCGACCTTCCAGAATTACCGAATTGCTCTCGTTTTCCATTCGACCTTGCTGCACATTGAGATGTTCTGCAAACAGCTCACAGCACGAGCTTGATGCTTTTGCTGTGGCATGAATGCGTTCAAACAGTAATTATCGCTGGAGGAGCGGCGCAAAAGTGACCGCCTTCTATGCGGTTGCATTATTGCAGTTCTCCCTACTCCCCCAAGAGGCCTTCGAAGGACACCGCGGCACCATGACCGGTGTCTTTTGCACGCGGCCGAAAAGCCCGGATGTCATGTCAACGATCCCATGCTTCCAATTGCCAGCGCTTAGGTGTGGAAGTGCATTTCGAGGGAAGGCATACCGTCCGGCGGGAGCTCGAGTGTCAGCGTGCCACCAAGGCAGTACAGTCGTCAAAGGCTCAGACAGCATCAGCTTGTCGACCATTTGACATGGCCCAGCTCTTCAGATCTCCTCATTGATTCCATCATGCCGAGCGGGAGGTAGGTTCAACAAGGTCTTCATACCTAGTCCACGCAAGAAGAAGACACAACACGCGAGAAGTGCGTGGCACATCAAGGAGTAGGGTAGATTCCTTCCCGGACCATGCCTACTCGCTTGGCAAAAGCTTGACCAAACAGACTAATGCTTGTTCCACCCTGCTCGGCTCCTCGGCAACAATAATCACCCACGCTTCCATTGCGACGTAATACGGACCTGATGCACGCATTCGTATGAGAGCTGGACGGCTGAAGAGCGGCTGTCAGCGGTACAAGCACGGTCTTTGAAGAGTGCAGTTAATAAGTCCCTGCTCCGGCTACTCCAACCTTTCCAGTCCTTGTACTGTAAACTCAGAACTCAGACCCAAGTTGTCTGACAGGACAGGACAGGCAGGATGGCGGAAAATATCAACGCATTCACTGACGAAAAGATCCACACCTCCCCCAGCAACAGCGATCCCATTCCCATCCCCATCCCTCCCTTCTCACCCACCCAAATCATCCAACCAACCTTCATCCGCCCCCAAGACCGCAAACTCCACGACTCAGCCGTAACATTCGAAGAATACCACTACTACGCGCAAAAGACCCGAGCCGAAGAAAAAGACCTCGAGTCTCCAAAATTGCGATGGAGGGAGATTTTCAGCAGTCGTGTGAGACAGAATTCTGCTCCTTCTCCCCATCGTGATGATCCGAATTTTGATGCGGCGAAACATCCTCCTGAGGTGAATCTTTCGAATCAGTGGGATCGCATGAGGATTGGTGATGAGGAGTGGGCGAATGCGAGTCGGGCTTTGAGGACTGCGAGTTGGGGTGCGGCGTTTTATTTGGTGCGTTTGTGTTGCGAGAGAAACGAGTCTCTTTGCATTTTTTGACGATGCTCTAGATCACGACAGACATCCTTGGTCCATACGGAGTAGGTTTTGCGATGGGGACGTTAGGATGGGGACCTGGAATTGCGCTGTATACAGTGTTCGGATTCTTCGCAGGCTACAGCGGGTACCTGGTCTGGCGAATGTTTCTGGGTGTCGACAGCTACCAGTTTCCGTGCAAGAACTATGGCGATCTGGCCTTTCGGACGTGGGGCGTGACTGCACGACATATCACCAACACCATCCAAGCACTGGGTCTGTTGTTGATTTTGGGCCAAGTGACAATCCAATTCGGACAGAACATTTCGCAGGTTTCCAAGTTCCGGCTTTGCTACATCGTTTGTCCGCTTTTGTTCGTAATCACTGGCTTCGCTCTGGGTCAAGTCCGAACGCTGCGGCAACTTGGTTTGGTCGCCAATCTTGCGGTCTGGCTGAACTTGCTGGTCATCTTCATGACGATGGGATTCGTGAGCCATAGTCCGCCGAATTATGCAGCTGCAGTGCTAGGCAGTGCCGGATCTGCTGTCGATCCAGCGAGCATTACGCCGGATGCGAACGGCGTCTATCCTGCTATCGTACACTATAATGGTCTTCCTGCTTCAAATTTGGTTGGATCAATCAATGGTCTCCTGTCTGGCGTTCTTGCATATGCAGGTGTTCAGGTGAGCATCCTCTATCTGACAGGTGTATCTGCATGACATGATACTGACCTTCCCGCAGCTCTTCGTCGAATTCATGGCCGAGATGAAGCGACCGACCGACTTCCTTAAAGCCATGTGGGGCGCTCAATTCTTCATCTACACCGTATACATGGTATACGGCTGCTTCATCTACTACTACCAGGGGCAATACAGCTACAATCCGAGCTACCAGGGAGTATCGGTGTATGGCTGGCAGACTGCTGGTAATATGATCTCCCTGATGGCCGCACTTATCGCTGCTGCGCTTTACGGCAATATTGGCATCAAGGTCCTGTACAACAACGTCCTTATGGATCTGTTCAATGCGCCGCCACTCATCACCAAGAAAGGCAAGATGCTTTACGGAGCTATCGTGCCTATCTGGTGGAGCACAGCATTCATCATTGCTGCGGCAATCCCAGATTACTTTGGCTTCGTCGCGGTCATCTCAGCTTCGACTCTGCTGAACTTGACATATACGATCCCGCCTTTCCTCTCTATTGCATATGACGCGAAAAGGAACGCGATTCGGCTCGATGAAGGTGAAGGATACGATGCGACGACTGGCCAAGTTCTGAGAAACGGTCCTGCTATGCAACGCTACATTCGTGGCTTCTTTTCTGGAGGTCCCTGGCAAGTCGCGATGAATTTTTGGCATGTGATATATTTTCTTGCGAGCTTGGCGATGTGTGGACTTGGAATGTACGCGGCGGTTGAGGGAATGATTGAGGTATTCAAGAACCCTCAGGTGACGAGCTTTTCGTGCACGTCGCCGCTGAATCTGAATGCTTGAGAGTGTAGATAGGCCGGTCGGAATGAATACATGTAGCCACTTCTTCCCTCCTTCAGACTGCCCCGAGGTCCGACTGTCATTTGGTCGATTGCAGATCCCTTACCATTGAAGGTTCAGATTTCTCCTTGTTACCGGGCATCGTCTCTCGATGAGTTGGTCGTGATGCAGTGGAAAGAAAGGAGAAGTCGCAGGAGAAGACGTTGGTCGGCTCGTGCCCCCCGGCTGGTTGTGCCACAGGCATTCGTCATGGTTCACCCTGCCGAACCGAAGCTTGGGATCTGTTCCTAACTTCCTATTGATACGCCTGCTCCTGCCTCAGGACACGTTATCTAGATACTGTATGTTCCATGAATCGCAAACTTGACCTCCGTCAAAATCTATGCATGCTACGTGGGGCGTGATGCGTAGGCTGATCTGTTCTCTTTGAGTGGAAAGCAGACCACCCTACCCGGACACCGCCGCCTGGACGTCCACATGCATAAGACACAGGACATTGAAGTGCAGCATGAGCGCCAGCGCTAGCAGTAATGCGACAGCATCCACCTTGAGACCTCGTACCAACCGACTCATTTCCGGCCTGAGCGACGACGGCGATAGCAGGACCCATGCCTCCTCCGCCCGCACAGCCTCGCCAGTCCCGTCGCCATGTACTAGTCGCACGGCCTCGCCCATACCGCGTGCGCATCCGCAAAGATCAAGTCCGCAGAGTCACAGACATGATACACATACATCGGCCGGGTCGCCGGTCAGAGCTGCGGCTGCGCCAGGCAGACAAAGAAGAGCAGGCGGAGACTCGGGCACCTCCTTGTCTGGACTATGGGGAAATTCATGGAGCGCATTGCAGGGCATAGCTTCGGATCTGCTGGGCAGCGATCTGGATTCGAATAGCTCAAACAGTAATGTGCGATCGAGAAGATCGGGAAAGGGACTGAACCGCCTGCGACCTCCCTCCAACGCCCCGCCGATTCAATGGGGCCCGTCAGCATCTACATCCAACCCCCGATCCGGCGCGATAGGCGCTGGGACCACCGAAGAACAAATTGCAGCTTTCAGGGAGCAGAAGAGGAAGGATATGTTGACTGGACAGGAGACGAGTTACGCTGACGCTCTGGGCAAGTTCAAGCGGAGGCTGTCAGACGACCGCAATTCTGCCTCTGCACCACCGTGCGAAGCTGAAGATAGAGATGCGCTAGTATATCTACATCCGGTCAAGAAAGACGACACCTTGGCGGGAATCACGATACGATACAATGTTTCGGCGAACGTGCTGCGGAGAGCGAATCGCATGTGGCCGAACGACTCCCCGCAAGCACGGAAGGTGCTGATACTGCCTGTCGATGCATGTGCCGTGAAGGGCAAGCCAGTGTCAGATGCAGAGATGGATTTGTTGGGCTCAGAGAGCGAAGCGCTGTCAACACTACAAGCCGAAGAAGTACCGACACCTACCGCGACTACATATCACCAGAATGGCATCAAAGGCCAGAGTCGAGATCGAACAAACTCTACATCAACACATACGACTACGTCTGCGGCAGCTTCGACAACAGAGACCGAGCCGAACTGGCAGCACGACTCGTGGGTGCTCCTTCCCGGCAACAAGGAACCTACTGAGATAGCACGATTACCTCGCAGAGCACTTGGATACTTTCCTCCAGCACGACGGAAATCCAATTCGTACTCCGACCTTGACACGCCTTCGAGCTCGTTAGAAATATCTCGATCCAACACAGAGGACATCTTCGGCGCATCAAATACGTCATCTTCGCCTCGTGGTAGCAGTCTTCAGAGACCGCGCGGTGGGCGTCGTTTTAGCAATGCCACGAACGGCTACTTTCCTGCCTATTTGCAAGGTCCCGGTGGGGTTGGAACGATGGACAGGAATGTGCGTTTTCCGGGACCAGCGCAAGACGGCCTCAACAAGCTCATGGCCAAGCACCTTCCAGATGTCGCACCGCCTCGGAATCAGGCGTCTCTGTACCACCCAGATGTACCAATGTATAGTGAAGAACCCACGCCTGTGGCTTCGGGAGCTCAAACACCTGCATATCCACATGGACATGGTGGTGGCATGAATCTCGAGCATGTCGGCGGCGCTATTGAATCCTGGGTAAGACGATTGGCGACCAAAGCAGCTCATCCACCTACCGGGAGAGTGGCAGCTGCGCGAGCATCGGTCGGTACTCCTGGAAAAGGTGCTGGCGGGATTGGCGACCTCATTGAGATGACTGATGAATTTGAGATCGGAAATGACGAGGAAGAAGAAGAAGATAGAGGAAGGCAGGGTTCTAGTCAAGCGGCTGCAAACTTAAGACCTGGGACTACTGCGACAAGCTACTTTGATGGCGCTATTGCTCGGAGCCGAAGTGCGAGGACCGGTAAGAGCGGGAAGGATGATTGATATGTGAGCTTGATACTGAATGATAGATGCATTGTGATGCGCTGCTTTCGACCACGAGTATCCCGTCATCAGCAGATTTCAAAGGCGGTGCTGGAACGTGATGAGTTGATTTTTCCATGCCTGCCCAAAAAGGTTGTCTGTGTTCTGGTTACAGGTCTTGGCATTCTATAGTATGAGCTCCACCGCACCCGCCTTGCACTTTCCAGATATCAACAGCGGCACGGCTTTGCGACCCATCTGTGTTGATGACACTGAATGCGATGGAGGATCTACGGCATCTTCAATGACGAAGGCATCGAACACGAAGGTTTCTCGAAGCGAAGACCGCACATAATCACTTGCACCGCCTTCAAGGACCCGATGACAACTAGCTCCGTGGCGCCGGTATGCGTTCCTCGGTAGTGACGAACAGAGCGCTTGGGAATGTCATGTGCACTTTTGGAAATGTGCCAGAGGTCGTTCCGCAAAATCGAGTGCCGTTCTGGGCATCGCCATTACCTCACATCTATTAGTCTTTCGAAGTACGGGTCAAGATCAGCCGCCCTTGGCGGAGCCTGTCACTTTGGGGGCGGTACAGCCTTCGCTGGAGGCGGAGTAGAAGGCCTGGGTGGCCATGGGATAGACTGGTTCGAGGGAACCTGGGAGACGGTAGGCTGTGATGCCATTTTGGCCCAACGTGGCGGCGAGGCTCAGGTTCAGGTTCAGGTTCGCAACTTTTGATGCAGTGGTAGTGGCAATCTTTCCCACATGATTGCCGACACGGACAGCCAGCAAGTCGCAGCCAAGCGCATTGCTAAGAGTATATCGCTGAAACACGATTGCAGGTGGTCTATCGACGGTGCTTGCCATATCAGTTAGGACGATATTCAAGCGTGAGAACTTTACTTTTGCGCTGTGGATAAAATGCCGCCAAGTTGACCTGGCAGCTTCGAACCATCAATATTCGAGAGGGACGGGTGACAGCAAAGTATAGGATGAATCACATGCGGCCAGGCGACGGCTGCAACTCAACAAGTCGCCAAAGACGCGCCACGGCGGCGCCCTTCCGGCCAATTGCTTCTGAGACTATACGCCTTTCGCGATTCCTTTGACGGCGGTATGCAAGTAACAACCCTTGCTGATGCTGTCGAGGAAGAGCGTGCTAACTTGCGCGAGGCTCCGTTTAGGATACAGCTTAACGACATCTCCGTCGGGCGTCCTAATCGATCGCTTGGAGGTGCAGGCGGCGGAAATTCTCTAGCACAACGTTGCTACTGAATGTGTGGATCTCCTCGAGTACCTGCGCCCAGGGCGGCAGACTTAGCAAGCTCGGGGAGATAACTCTACCAAGAGGTACTTAGTTGGCGGTGCATGGCAGAGAAGCAAGGAGCCGCTCGTGGCTCTGCATTTGCATCAATTTGGAGGCGGGTAGGGAGATGTGGTCCGGAATGGCCTGGCCTCGATGTGTCACTTGCTCACGAGGCTCCGTGCGACACTCCGCTTGAGATGACACCCTCAGGAGTGTTGCAAACGACTACAAGCAGCACTGTGCCTCCAAATACGGTCCACGGAGAGATGAGAACCCGTGTGAAACGACAAACGTACCCTATCACACCATCTCTTCGAAATCTCGCGCCCTGTGCTCCCACAACGGGGGAAACAATAGCGTACTCGCAAAGTACGACAAGCTGCAGAGTGCCTCTAACCTGACAGAAACGCTGGCATATTCTATGTGAAGTGCTAGGCGAGCTTCCCACATCGCCTCACCAATACGGAACTCGGGTTTAAAAAGACATACAGTATTAACGCGAACTCCACCGAGCAGTACAGACTTTCATCTTACAAGGAAGCACATCCATCTCACAAGGAAGCACATCACAGACGACGTGAAAACCACATCGCCTCCCCACCACAGACCTCCGATTTGCAAAGACACAGCATAAAAGCGAACTTCCAACGAGCAGCACAAACCTTTATTCCACAAGGAAGCACATCATCAAAAACAACGTAAAGTAAAAACCCCCATCCCCTCACCACCACAGCCCTCCAAATCCAACACTCCACACAACAACGCCGCAAAATCCATCTAGAACCCTCGTGCGTCAACTTATAAGGAAGCACATCATAAAACACATCATCAAAGACAACACATACATCCCCTCACCACCCCACGCCCTCCAACCCCAACCCCTCAAAACCCACTCCCCACCCTCGTATATCAATTCACAAAGAAGCAAGCACGAAAAAAATCACATAGAAAGAAGGAAAGAGAGGCAAGTTTTCACCAAACCAACAAACACAATCTCATTTCTCGAAGCTATCTACAAATCTGGGTCCTCGTCGGCCGGTACCTCACCCATAAACAACGCCTCACTGGCGCAGAATGCGCACTCGGATTTGGTGGCGTGCTCGCCGCCGTTTGGATGGCGGGGGCAGGGCTCAGCGGAAGAAGAGGGAGCGGCGGCAGGAGGGCTCACCTGCGTGGCGCTTCTCATCTCTGGTGGTGCCGTGGTGGTGGTGGTGGAGTTGAGGTCGGTGGATGGGACCTCGGGAGCGGACGGCACGCTCACTTGAGCGGCGCTTCTGATCTCTGGTGGCGGCATGGTGGTGGTGGGTGCGAGGTCGGTGGTTGTGACCTGCTGGAAGAGAGGAGCGACGGTGACGGGAGCGGCGAGGTGACGGAAGGTGATGGTGGTGCCGGTGATGCTCGCGCGGCAGATGGGTGCGAAAATGGCCGGTGGGAGAGGCGTTGGCTGCGGGCGAGTGAGAGGGCGGAGCGGCTGGACCGGGAGAGGAGCGGCGAAGAGAGGGCGCAGCGGGATGAAGGCGGGTGTCTCTGGGACGAGACGGTGCTTGCGCTCCCAGTTCTCGTGCTCGCGTCTCTTCTGCTCGATGTCGAGGGCCGTTGGTGGTGCTGGGAGGTGCTCAAGAACCGGGTATGGGACAGTCTTGGCAGAAAGCTTGCTCTCGTAGCGGCGTTTGACGGCCTCTTTCACGCGGCGGAGGTGCTCTTGGTTGCGGGCTTGGATGGGTGAATATATCTTTCGATAGTACTCGTCGTTTCGGGCGTCGAACTTGGCTTTGATGATGCCGCCGAGAGCGCAGAGAAGGGAGAAAACCAGGAGGGAGGCGAGAGCGGAGCAGACGAGGACGAAGCCGAAGCCGATGGTGCTGAGCATGCGCTCGATTTTGGCGCGCGAGATCTCCATATTGGCCAAGGCCAGGAGCAGGACGACGAGGCGGGCGACGGTGAAGAAGGTCGTCTTGACCTCCGCGAAAGACAACATTGCTTCGACCAGCGAAGGCTTGATGTCGGTGTCTGGGTTGGATGTGGGTGGCGCGGAAGGTTGCTGCTGCTCGAGTTGTGCTTGAGTGAGGCGGTGGTGGTGTCTCTCTTCGAGTGGCTGCTGGTTTGGTGGTGATGAGAAAGGAGAGAAGATTCTGAGAGAAGAAATGGACTTCTAAATAGTCAGACATGAGGTGAGGTTTGACACTGACAATAGCATTCAGCAACAATAGCGAGAGTCGAAGGGAAGGGGAGAGCCAGTGACAATAGGAGATTCCCAGAAGTCAATAGCGGTTTGCAGCACAATGGCAATTCTTGAGATGGGAGGTGTTGGAGAGGATAGAAGCACAATAGCAGGGAAATGCAGAAGTGGACGTGGCTGACATGAAGCGCCAGCATTGTTTGCTATTGTGAGGTTGCGTGAGCTGCTACAATTGCTGCTCTGAGACAGCAGACATCAGATGCCGGAGCAGTCTTGCTGCTGGCGGACAATATGATGTTCCAGCTGCATGTCGCGAAGCGATTGTTCCGCACAGACCACATCGACTTTCCAGCATGAATGAATGTAGGCGCCGTAGGTGGCGTGGATCAAGATGGGAGAGGCAGGCAAAGCAGCGGCCGATGGAGATGTCGTCGACAATGAGCGCGCTATTGTGCACGCCGGGTAGGGTCTCAGCGAGGGCAGTTGGATAGGGTGCCATGCAAGCCTGAGGCCGTCACAGCCTGAGGCATGATGGGTGAGTAGGCGTCGCTCTGATTTTGAGAACTGAGAAGCCCGTCCAAGATGTGCTGCCCCTGTACCTACTTGTTCTGTTCTGCTTGACCTCCTGCTCCATCTCCATGACTATCGATAGGAAATGAAGTCTGAAATTATTCCCGGCTCCAGCTTCGGCTTTTAGTTCTACGGCTCGACCCGCGACTGCCAATTCAAGAACAAGCCGGCAAGAATGCCACGAGCCACTATTCTACCCGAGATCCAGTCCGAGATGTCTTCTGAAAAATCAGAACGAAGCATTGTATGTGAGCCGCACGATCGGCGTAGGAGAAATCTGCTTCCCAGGACAATTGCGCTCGGGTTGACGTCCACATGCAGGCCTCAGAGAGCAGGAAAGATGGACGGAAGAGATTGTAGGTGCAACGGAAGATACACTGCACTACCCCGGCGCCGGGAATAACAGCCACTCACACCGTGTTGGCTTTTGGACGCACGTTATTAGCTGTACGTTGACGATAGCAGGAGCTTGTGCTTTGCCGCGCCGAAAAGGCACGATGCCGGACAATATAACATCAACGGGTGAGGGAGACTAGGCACCTCCACCATCTCGTTTCTCTACTCCCACCGCAAGCATACATTCCTCCTACTTCCTAACCTTCGCTTGAGAGCCCGCCTGCTGCAGACGTTGCGTGGAAACATGCTTTGAAGGAACAGAAAGAGCCATTGACTCGATAGACCCGCTCGCCCACACACCCACAGTCTGCCATCACGCATTGGGCAGGCTATGGCACAATCAATGCGAAGAGCCTTCCTGGACGCCACCTCGGCCTTTCGAACGACCTCCCCATCAATCACATCACAATCCAGCCCGGTGTGGCGAAGACGAAGCACTCCAAACGCGTCCCAAAACAGCACAAGTCAGCGAAGAACCTACCTTGGTCAGACACAACGAAGACGAGCCACAACTTCGGCAGAAACCACATTCTCCAAGTATCCCATCATAGATCACCACTACGATGCCATTGTCGTGGGAGCTGGTGGCGCAGGCCTCAGAGCAGCTGTGGGTCTAGCAGAGTCCGGCTTGGAAACAGCATGCATCACGAAACTGTTCCCCACTCGATCGCATACGGTAGCCGCACAAGGAGGAATCAATGCAGCACTCGGCAACATGACTGAAGACGACTGGCGGTGGCACATGTATGACACAGTAAAAGGAAGCGATTGGCTCGGAGATCAAGATGCAATACATTATATGTGCAGAGAGGCTCCAAAAGCAGTGTATGAATTGGAGAACTACGGCATGGCTTTCTCGCGGACAGAAGACGGCAGAATATACCAACGAGCACTGGGAGGGCAAAGCTTGAACTATGGCAAAGGTGGCCAAGGTGTGCGGTGCTGCTCGGCTGCCGATCGAACAGGGCATGCTATGTTGCACACACTGTACGGGCAGAGTGTGAAGGTGAGCATGCAATTCAAAGAAAGCCAATAAAGCCTGAAATGCTGACAATTTGCGCCAGCACAACACCAACTTCTTCATAGAATACTTTGCGATAGATTTGCTCATGGTCGACGGTGAATGCGTCGGCGTTCTCTGCATGTCAATGGAAGATGGTACTCTGCACAGAGTATTTGCGAGAAACACCGTCCTTGCGACAGGTGGATATGGACGAACGTACTTTTCAGCTACGTCAGCACACACCTCGACAGGAGACGGCAATGTAAGTATTGAAGGGGGAGTAAGCGGCAAACCGCGTTCTGACCTTGCGACAGGCCATGGCATCACGAGCGGGTCTGCCAAACCAAGACTTCGAGTTCATTCAATTCCACCCTACAGGCATCTATGGCGCCGGTGTGCTGATCACAGAAGGATCGAGAGGTGAAGGCGGCTACCTTCTAAACAGCAACGGCGAGCGCTTCATGGAACGATACGCACCTACGGCCAAAGACCTAGCATCTCGCGACGTAGTCTCTCGAAGCATGCACATGGAGATTCGAGCAGGACGCGGCGTAGGACCAGAGAAAGATCACGTCTACCTCCAACTCAGCCATCTCCCCAAAGACCTCATCATGGAACGCCTCCCGGGAATCGCAGAAACCGCCAGCGTCTTCAGCGGCGTCGACGTAACAAAAGAACCCATCCCCGTCCTCCCCACAGTCCACTACTGCATGGGCGGCGTCCCCACGAACTGGAAAGGCGAAGTCCTCAACGTCGACCCCTCGAGCGGCAAAGAAAAAGTCGTCAAAGGCCTCTACGCCGCCGGAGAAGTGGCCTGCGTCAGCGTCCACGGCGCAAACCGTCTGGGCGCCAACAGCCTCCTCGACATCGTCGTCTTCGGCCGAGCCTGCGCCCTCGACATCGCCTCGAAAAACTCAAAAGGCCAACCCCACAGCCCCGTCCCCGAAAACATCGGAATGGACTCTTTGGACTGCATGGAAAAAATCCGGTGCGCAGATGGAGAGAAACTCAGCGCGGAAATCCGTGCGGACATGCAACGGATCATGCAATCTGAAATTTCCGTCTTCCGCACTCGCGAAGCTTTGGAACGAGGGAATTCGAAAATGCAGAGTGTGCAAACAGATTTCGAGACGAGGTTGGCGGTGAGGGATCGCAGTATGATTTGGAATTCGGATTTGATTGAGACGTTGGAGTTGAGGAATTTGTTGACGTGTGCGGCGCAGACGGCGAAGAGTGCGCTTTTGAGGGAGGAGAGCAGGGGGAGTCATGCGCGAGAGGATTTTGTGGAGAGGGATGATGAGCATTGGATGAAGCATACGCTTTCGTGGCAGCGAAATGTTGGGGAGGAGGTGCGGATTGGGTATAGAGGGGTTGTCATGGGGACTTTGGATGAGGGGGAGATGGGGAGTATTCCGCCTGTTAGGAGGACGTATTAGGATATAGTATAAATGTAGGTATACTATAGCGGGATGGAGGGCTCGCTTATGTCTCTGATGTTTCCCACTCTTCGCCACAATCGTCGCAGCGCTCATATGTCGTTGTGGAGTCCGATCCGCAAGACTGGCATCCGCCCTCTTGATGCTGCATCGCTTTCAATATCGCTCGATGCTTCTTGTCAAGCGGACAAGACTTACACAGATTGTCATCGCAGTTCGCTCTCCCGTTCACAATCGTACAACACCCTGCCTCGACTCTCGACACGCTCGTGGTCGTCATCTCGCAACTGTTTTTCCGACACTCGTACTCTTCTTCCCCGACCCAGAGCGTAAAGTCGCGCCTGATTCTTGCTTCAGTGAACTTGCCCGATTTCGCAGTGTTCTTAGCAAGCTCAATCACCCCGAGCAACATTTCCGAAGTCTCATACATCGCGCACCCCGGCTCGTTGATATCTTTATACTGCCCCATATCCAGGTTCTCCTCGTTCCACTCCGTGACATCGACGTGGAACACGAGTTTCTCCGTGCCAGTGGAGTGTACACACCATCGGAAGAAATCTAAGAGGCCCTCGGCGCATGTCCAGCGGTCTTTTAATGTTAACCAGATTTTTCGGAGGTGAGGGCGGTTTTTGGGGCCGATGGAGTCGAGCCAGGAGATCAGGTAGGTGAAGTCGCAGCGGTGGATGTGGATGTCGAAGTCGTTGCTGCTGTAGAAAATTGAAAGACTCTCGTCCCGGATTTGGTGGTTTACTTTGCTCAGGGCTGGTTGGATGGCGTGTATTCGGGTTTTGTGTGTGCAGAGGCTGGGGAGCATGGGGAAGGTTTCGCTGGAGCTTAGAAGTACGAGTTCGTAGATTCGGTTTCGGAGTTCTGGAGGCAGATCCAGGAAGGGGAAGGGTTTGATGATTTTCTGTGGTTTTCTTGGTTAGCATAAGCTGATGTGTTTTGCTTTGCTTGTTGTGGAAGCTTACGTTGGCTTGGGTGGCCATGTCGTGAAGTCGTTTCCGCTGCTGAGGTGCCATGAATCTACCACGCCCGATGAGTGCACGTAAGGCCGTGTCCAGCTCGTCGGTGGACGGTGCGCTGTCTGCGGGAGATGAATCCATCGCTGTGAGAATTTTTTTCCCATCGGATTTGGGAGCTGTGGAGTGCACATGTTGTGGTAGTGCAGAGGGGATGGCAGCATTGGACGCAGCTTGAAGGTAGCAGTGTCGTTCGATGAGGAAGTCGCGACATGGCTTCGCATCTCACTTCTCCGATGTGCTCTTGCATCTTTGCTGTACCATGAAACGGCATTGAACCAGGAACACTGGAGCGGCGAAATTCTCCATTCGCCTCCTTACTCTCGCTCATGGCACACGATGTCTCACGCTGTACGGTCGCCAGCGTCATTGTCAACTTCCAGCGAACGCTCCAATCATTGGCAAGAGCACGAATGATATCCTCAGCTGGACGTGACCTCCATCGTTCCACGAGTCATGCCACACGGAATTCTTGGCAGGAGGAGAAGCTCTTTGCCCAGTGAGCTTGAAAGCAAGCTTAAACAAGCCAGAGCCGAAGCAAAGAGCCTACCGAATGCACTACCGTGATGTCGATGACTTTGGTTCGGTGGCTTGCTCTCCGCACCCAGACGCCTTTCTTGGCGGACGTCTTCCTCGGTGCTTCCACGCTGATCACTGTTCTACGGTGCAAGCTCCACACAACTACACAGCCTCCTCTGCAGTAGCTCGAACACTAGTCTCGGCATGATGCACCTTCGCAGCGACTGACTGGCCGAGAGACAACAACATGACTGGCTTCGACCAAGACGGCATGCAAGCATCAGTCAAGCTCGATGCAAGCCATCGCTGCTCAGCAGAAGCCAACCCAACCGGCACGGACACGACCTACTGCTTTCTGGAAAGATCGTACGCGAGCAGAGACGAACAGAGAGTATCATGAGTTCCCAGCTGCAGAGATAGCACTGCCTAGGGCCGATCCGTAGAGATGGAGGCCACTATAAGTGACGAACAATGCCTCACGCTGTTCAGTTTCAGTAAGTGCTGGCTCACTTTGAACCACCAGCATGCATTTCTCTTCTTTCGCGACTGTTGCGGCTCTTGTTGCTACTGCGTGTGCAGCACCAGCCAATGTCCAGCGCCATGTCCTTCACCAGAAGCGTGCTCCATCCCACAACTGGATCAAGAGAGATCGTGTCCACAGCGAGTTGACCCTGCCAATGCGCATTGGCTTGACTCAGTCGAACTTGGACAAGGGCCATGAGTTGCTCATGGAGGTGTAAGTCGCTGTACAGAAACCAGTAATCGAATGCTACTGACGATCAACACAGTGCCGATCCGGCCTCTCCCAAATACGGCAAGCACTACACTGCAGAGCAGGTCCACGAGCTCTTCGCTCCAGCCACCGAAGCTGTCGACGCCGTTCGAAGCTGGCTCGAGTCTGCCGGTGTCGAAGGCCACCGTATCACACAATCTGTCAACAAGCAATGGATGGAGCTAGATCTCTCCACTGCTGAGGCAGAGGCACTTCTCCAGACCAAGTACCACTTCTTCGAACATGCACAAAGCGGCAAGACCACTATCGGTTGTGATCAGTATGTTTCTTTTTCGATAGTCAATTGCAGAGCCTTGCACTGACTTGGTTAAGGTACCATGTGCACGAGGACGTCAAGGACCACGTTGACTACATCACCCCGGGCATCAAGCTGCTCGCTTCACGCAAGCCAAAGAAGGCCGAGCTAGAGAAGCGTACTTTCGGATGGGGCAAGGAACCAACGCTGCCACCGCTCAAGGCTCCCCTGCCAGCATCACTCACCGACCTTCTGCTGAAGCCTCTTGAGGTCCTCTGCGACATTGCAATCATTCCAGGTTGCATTAAGCTCATGTACAACTTCACCGATGCCACAACCGCACAGAAGGGCAACGAATTGGGTATTTTCGAGGACCTCGGTGACTACTACGCTCAAGAGGATCTCAACCTGTTCTTCGCCACCCTTCAGCCTCGCATTCCCCAGGGTACTCATCCAACGCTGGAGGGCGTCGATGGAGGCACTGCGCCAACTTCGGTCGCAAACGCTGGCCCAGAGTCCGATCTTGACTTCCAGATCAGCTACCCAATCATCTACCCACAGAATTCCATTCTTTTCCAGACTGATGACCCAGTGTACGAGGCCAACTACACCTACAATGGCTTCTTGAACAACTTCTTAGACGCCATCGATGGCTCGTACTGCACATACAGCGCTTTCGGCGAGACTGGCAACAGGCAAGTAAAACGTATCTTTGGATGGTTGTCAAAGTACTAACAGCAAGCAGCGAGGACGATCCACCATACCCACACAATGTCCCAGGCGGCTACAACAAGCCACTCCAGTGCGGTGTCTACAAGCCAACCAACGTCATCTCCGTCTCATATGGTGGTCAAGAGGCCGACCTCGACTTCAACTACCAGAAGCGTCAATGTAGCGAGTTCATGAAGCTCGGCATGCAGGGTGTTTCCGTCCTCATCTCATCTGGTGACTCAGGTGTCGCTGGCCCAGCTGGAGACGACAGCGACAACGGCTGTCTTGACGGTGGCAAGACCTTCAGCCCAGACTTCCCTGCTTCTTGTCCATACATCACTGCCGTGGGGGCTACTCTCCTGACCGGCAGTGCCTCCAAGGACCAGGAGACTGCTGTCACCCGTTTCGGATCCGGAGGTGGCTTCAGCAACATCTACGCTATCCCGAGTTACCAGAAGACTGCTGTCAGCAACTACTTGACTGCGCACACGCCACCATACAAGTCCTACGCCACTCAAGCCGAGCGCTCCGCCGGCGGTGTCTGTAAGAACAAACATCCTCGCGCTGAAGAGCATCAACACTAACTTTTTTCCAGACAACCGCACCGGCCGTGCCTACCCAGACGTCTCAGCCGTCGGTGACAACATCGTCATCTTCAACAAAGGTGCTCCAACTCTCATCGGAGGCACATCTGCATCCTCCCCAGTCTTCGCCAGTATCTTGACCAGAATCAACGACGAGCGCTTGAAGGCTGGCAAGCAGCCTGTAGGATTCGTCAACCCAGCTCTGTACGCAAACCCTCAAGTTCTTCATGATATTACCCAGGGTAACAACCCTGGCTGTGGAACAAATGGATTCGCTGCAAGCTCTGGTTGGGACCCGGTCACTGGATTGGGAACTCCTAATTACCCGGCTATGTTGAAGTTGTTCTTGAGCCAGCCGTAGGGTGTTTGTAGGGAATGGAATTATTTTTGGGATTGATGCAGATGGAATTTATGATGAATGATATCGACAGTGAATGAATGAAAATGAAGACATAAGATGTCAGAATTCGGACTGCTTCATGCCATCAATCCTATCTTTTACTACGCCGAGCCATCCAGTCAATGTGTTTGTTTCTGTACCGAGTCTCAATTCCTCGGAGTGATAGTCGAGAGCTGCTGTGATCTCTTTGCGATTTAGGCTTCACAGGATTTGAAGGATCGTGAGGCGGAAATATGAGGCATTCATACATTAGCGTTTACAGGGATCTTTACGCACGTCCGCAGTCCGCTCCCGCAACGACGTGCATCCCGAACGCCAGTAGCTTGATGAGTGTTAGACATTGAAACATCGTCGCATTCGTCTTCATCCACTCTACCGCCCTTGGAAAGAACACAAGATCGCCGTGCCAACATCGTCCAGCTATCCGACGCCACCTCGATACAAGAAGCCGCCGAAACGACGAAGAACGAGCGCAACGGCGCATCAGAAGGAAGAGCAGCGAATGCGCAAGTGAGCACACTCAAGTGAGGCAGGGAGTGAGAAATACAGCATGAATGCCCGCGGCGGTATGTGTCTACCCGTGTCATGTGAAGAGTGACATCGTTTGCGCATACACCCTTCCACCCTCCATCTCAACCCTCACGCATACCATCACACACAACCCCCTCAATCATGGCTCCTAAGCAACGCAGCAAGCTCAAGAAGCCAGCGACATTCCTTGATGTCCCTGCCTTGTTTGATAACAAGTCAGACACAACGACTGACAGTGGCGTCGATGACACAGGCAATCAAGGGCAGCCGCTCCGCAATATTAGCATGAATGCATTCGGCAACCAGCAGAGCACGCGACAGACACCTCGACTGCAAAATACTCAAAAGACAGGACTTGGTAATGGCAATGCAGGTGCCAATTGGGCCTTCGGTGCTCCTTCGTCTGGGGGCTTCGGAGGGCTGGGAGGAGCGCCTGGCTTAGGCCAGCCGCGACCTGGTCAGCTATCGGGCTTCGCACAGGTTATGGGCGGTGGTGGGCAGCCGCAAATTGACATGAGGTAAGGCAAAGTTTCCCTTTCTTTCGTTCTCGGCGCATGGAGGTGGTCAGTGATTGGCAACGGCAACGGCAGCAAGGCAAGGCAAGATGAATATGAGTACGGATCGATGTGAGCGAGGCACTCCTCTCATCTTCTTGAAATTTCGCTGCGACTCGCTACCTCTGGACATTTCGGGAGGCGATATTCGGCAGTCGGCGGAGGTGATCCAACTTCACTTCCAGCTAAGGCAATCGCGTCAACGGCTGCGGTGTGCTACTTCTTCGTCATTCGGCTTTGCAGTGCACTTGAATACATCCACCAACTGCCATTGCCATTGCCATTGCCATAGCCACCGCCGACTGCCATCGCCTTGTCTTCTCACGTCGTCCATCGAGCTGCCAACTCGCCAGGATGTCGTTTCGTGGAAGACAGGAGACCAAGAAGGCTAACTTCAACTATGACAGTGACTTTCCATCCTTATCAGGTCAGCCTCGTCCTCAGCAATCCACGGCTGGTGGCTGGAACAGTGCAGCGATCCGTCAGCCCACAACTCAGCCGCACCAAGCTCCACCGCAGCCGGGTCCAAATCAGCAACAGCAACGCGCTCCATCTGCAGCGCCATCGCATCACTCTCTCGACCAGTTCGATGGTCAACGCTCGCATCCGCAGTCCACAGATCGTGGTGGTGGAGGCGGAGGAGGAGATGAGCAGTTTCCACCACTTCACAATCAAGGCCCTGCCGACGCTCCGCGACAGACCCACGGTTTAGGCAGTGCAACCCTCGGCTCGCCTGACGACACTCAAGCACAATTAAATGGTCCTCAAGCACAGCTGCCAATCCGCGAGGTGTCTGGGAGCAGCAATAGCTTCCCGTCTGTCCAACAAGCCCCCATAGGCACCAGTCAACCGACACCACAATCTCAGCCGCCTTCCGCCCAGAGTCAGACGCAAACAGCACCGGCCAATTCGACCGCACCACCGACCAAGCGTTGGGTTGACTTGACTGAAAACGAGCGATGGGGTCTCGGTGGTCTCAATGCAATGTTCGATGCAAGACGGCAGCTTGAAACACCTGGTGGTCAAGTCGATGAAACGATGCCTGCCAAGTGGCGCAATGCCACCTTGTTCATGGGCCAGGATCTCAACACGCTCGGCTTAGATCTCGACAGCGCAGAACCACTCTATCCGACCTTCACGCCGTTCCCGGCGCACAACACCTCGGGATCTTCGTACGACTTCAAAGACAAGCATCCTATACCTCACTTCACGCTTCCAGCAGCGTACACGGTGAACAACGTCCCTGCGATGCACACTCGGATGGGTAGTTTCAGCGAAGGTGAGTAGCACATGCTCCCAGCTCGTGACACTGCTAACATAGCTCCACAGAGACTCTCTTCCAGTGCTTCTACACCATGCCTGGCGACATCTGTCAGGAGCTTGCCGCCTGCGAACTCGTTACGCGCGATTGGCGCTGGCACAAGGTGCTTAGACAATGGCTGCAGAAGGATTCGCGAGAAACGACTTCGAACATTCCAATCTACGATCTTACCAATGGTGCAACGCCTGGTCAGCCATCTGTCAGGCTCAGCGAGAACACCGAGCGTGGCGTGTACGTCTTCTTCAATCAGTATGAGTGGCGTCGCGAGAGACGCGAATTCACGCTGGACTACGAACATCTGGAACTTGCCAAGACCAACCCAATGATCAGCACTTTGAGTAGCGATCGGAGCAATGGCAACATGGCCGGCCTGGATCCTAACAGCTTTCCCGCCTCGGGCGGCCTTCAAGCCCGGCAGAACTCGGTCATCTCAGGCGGTGCTTAGGAAGCTCGCGTGATGAAAGGCTCGGACTGCAGCGGCATTCATGATTCGTTGAAGAAGACGTCCAATTGGGACGAAGAGTGTAGGGCGCTTGGTCGACGTCTTGGAACCATGCCCGTGACAAAGCCCATCTCAAAGCCCGCCTCCAAGCTCACCTCGGAGGCTTTGAAGAAGGCAGAGGAGAAGATGGCGTCTCTAGGCATTTGAGGCAGGAATACGACATACGACTTTTGATATCATGGCTGGCTTTGGACTACCTCATAGGAAGGAGGGAATTGGACCTGGCTGGCAGCATGCATTTAAGATCACGCGCGAAGCACGATCAGATACGTCCCTTGCTTTGGATGTTTCTTGAGGAGCTCGCCCGTGCCCACATACTACGAAACGACTCGGATGATCCCCGAGCGATGGATAATAGTGTAACATCAGAGATGAGCACTACTTGTTCTTGGAGAGATGAAAATGCTGTATACAGCAGCCAGAAAATCGTTAATGGTGTCATTACGGTCCCTGAAGTTGTCCTGTCTTGAATTTCTGCTGTTCATGCACATATATAGGGTTCTCTGCTTGCGGTGATGTGAACAGTCTTATTATCTGGGCTGACGAGTTTTGTGTTGTGGGGCAAGCACGGCGAGAAAAGAAAGAAAAGGTAAGTGATGATGGAGCAAAGTTCTTTCATCGATTCTAGATGCTTGCAGCGCAGATGTCATGCATGCTTGATGCTGGCTAGAATGGAATGCATGCAAGTTAGAATGGCACCCTTCATGTACCGACCGGCCGGGAAACTCAAACGGAACGGACCTGTTCTTTTTTTTTTCGGCGATCAATAAATACTTTGGAGTGAGAAAGGTGATCGACAGGCGAGTGGCACGCTGCTGGCACGAGCGGCGACGTCATCTTAGCCGCATGAGGGATCAATCGAACTCCAGTACGATCGATCGCAGACGAGATTCCTTGATCTACTTACTGTTTGCAAAAGGTCGTTGATGCTCGCGAGCGAGGAATTTATGGTTGGTTGGTTGGTTGGTTGGTTGGTTGGTTGGTCTGGTATAGAGGAGATAGCTCCTCGACTCTTTACTTATATAAGTCAAAGTAGGACCTTACCCTCCCACTACACGTATCGAAAGGCAATAGCACCGATATCTCGTTATTTTTTTTTTCTTTCGCTACTTTTTTTTCTTTTAGGCGCGAGAAGGATAGAAAGAAAGAGAAAGAAAAGATCGATGGTTTATCTGCAAAATCTCGTGCGCCCTTATATATCGCAATGCATGGTTGGTTTTCTTTTTGAGCTTTGGGACTTTTTTTTTTTTTGAGAGAGAGAGACCTTCGTGATCGGCGTGAAAATTCTACATCCGATGTCAGTGATCTGGTCACGGCAGAACGGCATTCTCCATTGCGCCACTTCTCATATATTGGCTTGCTCCAGTCCGTCCTCCACAGATGACAGGCTATGGCTTGCGTGCTGTGATGCTATGGCAGCGAATCACTTTGAGAGCACATTTCCATTGTCCGGACTATGCTACTATAGGACTATCTCGGGGCGCAAGCGGAGATGGGATGAGAGACAGAATTCAATGCAGGAGAGTCTTTGGTAGCGAAAGGTATCATAGTCTTCCTGCT